TTATAAGGGGTAAAATTTTATTAAACTTTAATTCAGTTAATATCGTTTAGATTTTAACTGCTTTAAGTAAGTACATTTTACCGAAAGCGCGTTAACTAAAATAAATCAATTAAAAAACATAATGCTCCATAAATATCACAACAATCTTGATAATTTGTCGATACATTTTTTCATCATATTATACTCACTGCATTAAAACAATAATTCGGAATTCTTAAAAGAATGAAATGTATACTTACAATTATTTAAAATAAATATCAATAAAATGATAACTTGTGCAAGTATGTACTATTCAATGTATATTTCTTCAATAGCATTTACAAAGTCGTCGATTGAATAATATGGCTTTAAATATTTGATCAGTACGTGCAAATACGAGTAGGTAACTACATCAATTCAAAAATCAGAGAAACCCGAAAATCTCATGGGAAGTAATTGGATATCGAGTTATCTTCACAATAAATCGTGTTTTCAGTTTTCCCCAGGTGCTCCATGCTCCATCGCAATAAACGAAAGAACAATCAGCAGTAAAAATACATATACATACAAATGCAAAATCACTCCATTTGTTTACTACCATTCGTTTCATTGSACATAAACATAGCTTTTATATGCATCCATTTTATTTTATTTTCTAATTTTTTTCCACATATAGGTGACACAAGATGAATGGTGCGCAATGTGGGACGAGTTCTCTAAAAACCCGAGTGCGCCTCAAGAATGGCAAACACATTATATGAATTTCATGTTTGATCTGGTCGACACATCAGGTAATAACTATGTATAATTTAGTATATTATAGTATAATAAATTAATAAAGTACCTATATTATTATATTATTGACTTATTGTCGTCACATGATTAGATTTCATATTTTATCGAACTATCAATTTGATTAATTTTTTACTTTTAAAATTATTATTAAACCTTTCAAACAAACGTTGAACACTGTACCTATGTTCAAATTGTGTAAGTATCTATTATAGACTAATAAATCGTATTGTTGAAGCCTATCCTAAAACAGGATAAAAGGTTAAAATATTTGAATATAGTAACCAAATACTATTTACACTTTATCCTAAAGCAAAAGATTTTTTTTTCAATTTTAATCTAGTAAATTTAAAACTGATGTCAAGTTGTTCTTTTTTTATTTATTCAAAGACTTAAAGTTTAGGGAAGTAATAAAATAAGAACAAACAGTATTACACCGTCACACATTTTTATTCTCGGTCACCATATAACACTTTATCATAATACAATTTATAACTGCAAGCTACAACATTTTTCCATTGAAATTTAACTTTGATTTGAAAATCAAAAGTCGATTTAGAAAATGTATAGAAGAAATATTTATGTGAAAATAATTAGATAGTTTCACATTAAAATTGATTACCTGGTAAATAACCCTGCATAATTCTAGCATGTTGAAAACTTTCAACGATAGTGTTAAAACATTTATTTGAACATTATAAAATCGTTAGTGGGAAAAAAAATATAATTCATTAGGTAGGTATAGAACAAGTTTTTCAATTGTTTCACGTTTTTTTTTTTTAGGAGGATCTATGATGTTGGCGTCGTTTGTATGCCTTTTGAACTGTAAATTATCGCATTATTTAAACTTCAAATGACAGAAATTCAGAAATAATAACAATGTAAAATGTAAATTGAAACATCTGAGCAGGGAAGGTCTTTAAAAATATACAATTTTAAGTACAGGGCGACAGCTGATGCTGACAKAAGAAAAATGATGTTATACAAACATTAATTTATGCATAATATAACTTTTTGTAAAATTCTAATGGATTTGTGCAATTCGGTACCTACAAACACACATCCAGTCAGTTTAGATATTTATTTTGTGAACACAGACAAATAAACTTTAAAATCATTACTATTACTCTCGTACTAAAAATATTTTTATTTTGCTTTTTTCGCTACACTTATTATTGTATAGTGYACTGGTTATTACTACAGCATCGGTTTTCTTAAAATTATTGATAGATTTGTTTTGATTTTCAAGAACATTTCTAAATATATCATAAAATATGTCATGGAATAAATATGAAAAAATAGAACTGTTAAAAAGTCACGATAAAAAAAAATAATTGTAGCAGTGAGTTATGGAGGCAGCTGTTATACGTGATCTTTTTACACTTATTTTTTTTTTGAACTGACAACCACTATTATAGTTCATTACAATATATTATAAAGAATATAATATAACAATATACAAATTATATACATTAGTCTCGACGTAATAAATTATAGCTTTTATCTCTATTTTTTGTGTTAGTAAAAATATAATATAAATTATTATTATTTTTAAATTATAAGAAAAATTAAAGTTATGACAGCAGGAATAGTGTATAGACAATCGGCGGGGTATTTCATACCAACTTGCTTATTCATTAAATGTCTCTAATATACTTTGAAAGCTCTCAAATAATAATCTAGGTATTGTTTTGAATATTTTATTTAATTTTAAATATATACAAATGTTAAGAAAATATGTATAAATATTAATTCGTTGCCATATACCTATATAAACAACATAGTCCCTATAGATCTGCTGAGTACTTATGTATAAATAAAAGTAACATAAATTGACTGAAAGAATGATCGCAGAGAATTGCAAATGAAAATTACAATGAATATTATGAAAGTACTGCTACTATATTGTTGGGTATGTTGAATGTAGTATTAACATTAAAATAATACAAATTAACTTTTGTAGTGAGGTACAAGGAATTAGTTAATTCAATTCATCCATCGAGTATGAATATTTTAGTTTCATTCACGATTCTTTCTATAGGAWTTTAATCTAATTAATGTTGTCATATATTTTAAAACATTCACCAACAAATGAGTATTTAGAAATACTGTGTATATATATGTATATTATATAATACTTTTGATTTATATACAATAGACACGTAGCTTTCAAAACTTTTAAAAATTACAAAATTGTAATAATAATTTTTTTAACACTGGTAGGGGTAATATAACTTATGAGTTTAAATGGAAAAACGATAACTATAATAGTTATACCTTCAAAAATATTTTTGCGTTGTAATACATGCAGGTAATTTTTTTTGTAACCTTATTTTTATTGAAACAAACAATGTTCGTTTTTTCGAAAATAATTCACAATTTTGGTAACCTTAATAATAAATATAAACATGTGTCTAATCTAATATATAATCATATCAAACAGGGCCATATCGCTTGAGTCGTCTGACATCCTCCAATAGTAGTCTAGAATGGCTGCTAGATTAGTGTCCCATCCCAGTCTTATTTTGATACTTATAAATTTAATATTTATAAAAATATCACAAAGATTTACTTAAATAATAAAATAAATATTTTAATTTTAAACCTTTAGTTTTACAGCTAAACATATTATATTATACTATAAATATTGCGAGACCAAAATATTTAATGATAAAACTAAAATCAAAATGTTGTGTACCTATTTAAATATTTAAACCATTAGACTTCATGCCATCTACCAATGGCTTTTTAATCAAAATAATGTTAACATTTTATTTAAATATTTTCCTCTCCACTTTTATGAATTCAGATTTATGTTGAAATTATAAAGGGTTATATTATATATGCTTCGTAGAGCATCAAACTTCTTTTTCATCTCACTGCACATTTTCCATCTAGGATGAAAAAATAATCCTCTACATTAATTGTGTTAGCTCTCTATTCACATTTTAACTAAAATAAATTATTTAATTAATCATGTGTAGGTACATTTTTCGATGTATAGGTATGCGTTATTTGTTATTTGTACTTGAGAATCGGCACTTAAACTAATTAAATATTATGTTCTAAATACATATCCGTATTTTAAAGAGTAATTTTTTTAAATACGTATAATACTATGCATTACAGTGTACTACGATTAGTGGAAAAAACAAGAATATTTAAATCACGAAAATCATCAATACGTCGTTAGTCGTGTTTTTTTAAAATTTACATGAATTATGTATAAGGTTCCTATAAAATAATTTAAAAAAAGATAAATTGTTTTTATAAAAATAACTAATACAATAATGGTCCAGAATTATTTCGGTCATTTGAAGATAAAATTTAAATTACCTTTTACAAAAAAAATAGCATACCGATTTTAATGGCACTATATTATTTATTTTACTCGTATAATGTTCTATAGATACCTACCAATTTCAATAATTAGTTACACGTTAAATGCACAATACTTCTGGCGTATATTAACAACTGTTTCCCCGTAAAACATTTTGTAATTTAAGATAAGAATGTTTCATAAAATTTGACAAAAGGGTTTAAATGTTTTATTCTTGTTTTACAGGCGACGGTTCCATCGACGAGGCAGAATTTTGCGAAGTTTGCCAAAACAACGGCGTGCCTGCTGCGGAAGCTGCGGACGCGTATAAACGATTCTCAAAGGTTAGCCTACCCCTTTAACGATTTAATCACTAATACTTAGTAATAAACCTTACGCCGGTCGTAATCGTACCGGAAATCCTGACTGAAATTGATGTGACCGGAAGCGCGTATCGCACTAYCTAAGCCGGTATGACACAATATTCGGATAATTTTCCATCTGGTTTCTCTGCCATATTAACYCTTTCCACTCTAAAACAAGAACAAAATGCATTTGAGCACAGAACATTAGTCAAATATTTATATTTATATTTATACCCTCGGCAACATGGGCTATGGGGCTTACAGAGAAAATAATAAATTACATATTATATTGTATACTAAATCTAAGTGTKAACTAAATTTTGGTTTGAAGATTGGCGGCTGTAATGAATTGGATGACCTTAATCGATTATAACCATAGTTATATTGAATTACACGGATTAAACTTTAATAGGCTACATCGTGTATAATAATACTCGTAATAATACAATAAAATAACACTTACCTGCGTGTACAAAAATAACCATCAAAATTAAAATCGATATAGGTACATATATGCATTTATACACTAGTTTTCAGAGTTTGATATTATCATGTGTCAGGACAAAACTTTTCCATAAAATTAAAATTATTATTAACACGCCAATAATAATTTTAAATAAATTATAGGATCGATACCTATTCCTGATGAATATTTTTTCTTTTATACATCAAATGTCAAATACACACACATTTTTAGCTATACGTTGTTTTATATTTTATGAAATCATTATTAAATACCCAACTATTGTAAATATAACACGATTTAAATCATCATTAATCAAAGAATATTATGTTCATAGAATACTGTAACAGGTAAATCCCAAACTGTGCATGAAAAAACACTGAGCCGTCGCGGGACGCCCGGCAGATGTGAAACATCAAAAATTTTCTTTTTGTAATAATGTTAAAATAGATAGTGAATAAGATGACTATGAAATAACTTCTAAATTAATACCATAATACTATTTTGTTTTTTATTTGCATATAAAGTACTTAAAAAATTTACAAAGACATACAAAAATATACAATTGTAATAATATGCAACAACTCTAATCAATATTATCTGTTGCTTCGTCAGTTATTTTTGTGTCAGTAGCAGTTGATGCTTCTAATGGTACAATTGCGATGATAATTGAAATATGCAACAAGAGTAGGTACGTGACATAACGTTATCAAGGTACCTTGTGAACMCTCCGTCTATAGYAGTTCCATATCTAGTTGTTGCTTCTTTTGGATCGTTATTAATATACAAACAACATTTTTCTTGGAGGGTTCGAATGATATCTGTTAGAAGATCGGTCAATCGGAAGAAAAATTTATTATTATTATTATTATTTATAATTCAATTATATACAATTAAATATGATATTATATTATTAAAAAAAAACAAAAATGTTTTTAAAAGATAAATTATAAGCTATTCCCCTTAAAAATTCTAAAATATTTAAATCAGCATTGTCAGCATTGTTCATAAAGCTTACAACAAGCTTTTTAATACRTTCTTCTCGTTGTTGTTTGGACTCTTTGAACTTTTTTGGATGCCAATATTGGTCTCGGTATCAAAGGCACCGCATATAGGTACAATTTTCACTGCACACATGTTCCGATACGAATAAAATGTATCTCGATTATCCGATATTGTTGTAGTCATTGGAATGACGACTACGAATTTCTATATACCTACATATAATATTGCTGGCTTATAGCGTGATCATAAAAATATACCTATTATCTGGATATTAACAAATTATTAGGTGCATTATATATTTATATCTGTGATTATGAACGATATTCGTATACTCGTAATTATGTTCAAATAGGAAAATATAAAATTCATACATAACACTATTCGAACACAATTCCATTCGAACAGATTTGTTCGAACACTCTTCATTCGAAAACAATTCATTCAAACAATCGACTAGTTCCCCTATATTAGTCGTCGAAATGTGAGAAATATTCACCTCTGATATATGGCAACTTCAGCGGCTCTAACATTTTTTTATTTAAAGTGAGAAATACAATTAAAATTGGGMAATTCGACTGATTTATCATCAGGAAGCCATGTTTCAGTCTTCAGATAACAACAAGAAGTTACTTTTCTGGAAAATAAAATCGTTTAAATCAAAAGCATGCTTGTTGAAACTGTAGCAGTTCAGAGTATAAATGTTCAATCCTTCTCTTGATGTCATAAAATTAGTAATATCAGTAATATCTGTTTGTAAAGTAGTTAATCTGTATTACGATAATCTTTTGAACTCTTCTTGCAAAGATACTATCGACGGATCGGCTCGTCTTTTTCTTTCGGCCCAGTACCAAAGAGAATTCGGTATGGATCGAAGAAAAGCCAAATTAAACTCTATGCAATTATTCATATATTTTTCAGGCTGTATTTGTTCTTTAGTAACTTTGGTATCTGTGCCAATATATTTAAAAGCAATAGTTAAGCAGTCACGAACGCGCAATCTCATTATTTTTACAGCCATATACAACAAATGWTATGGAGTAACTCCTCGGCGATCAGAACGTCGCAGTTCGCTCGAAGCTGTTATGAATGGAGTGYCACTAATTTCAACCTTAAATTTTCTAAATTGTCCTAGATAAATGCTTGGAAATGACAACTCTTCAGCATGTTCKTCGAAYRATAGACTCTGCGGAATATTGTGTTCTCCCAGTGCTAGTCTCAAACTCTCAAATATTTCTCTTCGTTCCATAATAATGTTTGTTGTTGAGCAGTAAGACTTACTTCAATATCAATATTTTCACTRAAATCATCAATATTGTTCTGTGAAATATTTGGAATATCTTTATTGAAAAATTATGTATTGATTGTAATCTGATAATTTTTATATAAAGGTGTATCCAATAAAATACTTCAGTCACATTTTGATAGAGCTAATATTGATTAAACCATGAACGAAACTACTTTTGTGAATTATTTTCTTCTGTAAATGTACATAAACGCAATATTCATCATTAATATTTCTTGGAAGTGCTCGAATCATTGTGTCCACACTAACTGGATTATTAATCATTTATCCATATATTTCAAATTGTCCATGAACGTGCCTTAGTCTCCTTATTTGTATGCAATTAATACGAGAAGAGAGTAATCTTCMAGTAACGAAATCGAGCTTTGGTAAGTGTAGGGGCATTTCAGGATATTTAAATCCATTATATGCTGCATAATAAAATTAGGGATGTTATTTTTATCCATAGATGCTTTGCAAGTCGAACAAATTTTATAGCAGTTATATCTGTTGCATTCTGAAAAAATGATTCAAGTATTATTTTCAATAGTAATAGTTTAAGTAATAAAATATCATGAAAATGAAATATTTATTATAATCGAATGAATTACTTGCAATCGACTGTACATATTGCTGATTTTTCATTTTTTTTGCTTTCTCTAAATCATATTCTCTCTGCTGAACGTTTTTTTTTTTTTACTTCTTCTTTCTGCTTCGCGTTGTTTAAGTGGTTCTCTGTACAGTTCCCTGACGCTCTTTTTAACGAGCRCTCTTCATGTCTATTACATTAAAACTGTGAAAATTGAAACGAAAAGTTGAATAAAAATCAGTATATTATCAGAGCAATGAAGATAGTTATAAAATGTTACTTTTCACTGGAATGTTTATTATGCGGTGCTTGTTCTGTACTATTAAAATCTGAACAGCTTGTCATAGATTGGAAATGTACATTTTGTTTAGTTTTCCTTTTTTCTGCTTCACGTTGTTTTAGTTTTTCTCGGTGCTGTTCTCTGTATTGTTGTTACCGATCTTTTTTTCTAAAAACAATATTATTTATATATATTTAATATATATTTTTATCATATATAATATAATATATTTAATATATTGATATAGAATTATTAAACAAAAGTATTTATAAATATATAATTTATAACTAATATCTATTAATCTAATTAGTATTTTACATCTTCACTATCTTGTAATATAAAGACGATAAGTTATACAAAGATCATTCTTATTCAAATAAAAATAAACTAACTTTTAGCTCGGATCAGTAAATTGTGCATCGGGATAAACATCAAAAGCATGATACACCATGAGACATTTCACTCCGACCTGCATTTCGATTACCTTGAAATTTAATTATTTTTTTGGGTGGAGGTKCACTGTCTTGTTGCAATATTTTCGTTTTATTTTCATTGTCACTCGCACTGTCACCGTCACTCATATTTTAGTAGAAAATATATATCGTTAATGCAACACTCCGCTCAAAACAACATATACATATACATAACAATATATTCAACGTAATATACAAACAATATATTTATACGTAACAATTAATATAGGTGTACATATATCAGGGTTGCCAGGAGACTTTAATTACTGCGCGGGTAGAGAGGAAATCGCCGAGCTTCAACGAATTGAGCCGACGAGCCACCAGTGGGGCGTCGCAACGCCACAGTCGGTCTCCCTACCGTACCGTGCCATTAGATGTTTCACATCAAAAATTACAATCTATGTGAAAGTTATAACTTATGTACCTTATGTAACTTATGTACTTAAGTACCTAAAAAATATTTAAGCATAAGACTTGAAATCTGTATCGTACGTCTATCTATTTAGATATCGTATTTTCCATTTTCCATCACTCTTATAATAATATCCAATATTCAATAAACATTTCATATTTTTACCACGATATCTAAGGGCTTACAATAAATATTTATTAATTAATCGTCATGCAAAACAATCACGCCTCCAATACTATGTAACCACTATTCTGAGATAAATAATAAGTCTGYCAAATATTAATTAAAGTAACAGATACCTCCTAGCTATACCTTCTGCAGGATTTTACTACCTAGTTTCAATTTTAACCATGCGGTATAAKAGCTGAAAGCTTTGCTGAAATACGTACCTAAATACATTTATTATGTTTTCATTTTGAATTATTAAACATGTATAATATATTATTATTATATATATGTTACTACAAGTCCTCATATATGATTTATGGTACAAAGCAAATATTATTTTTATATAATTTGAGGTCATTACAAAATAATATTTTCATTACCATTTTTAAAGTTTTTTTTTCTATTTTGAATAACAACAAAAAAAAAAAATTGCAAAACATAATATTTTTCCAATGACATAAAAGCGATAAGAATATAATATAAAAATAACATTTAAAAAAAAAAAAATGTAATTTAAAAAGTTATGACTAATGGGTAATGAGTCTAGACACTTAAATGGGTTACTTTGCTTATATATATAATACCTAACCTAAAATAGTTTGTAGTTCTTTTAATTATATCAACTGAAAGACAAAATACTACGGCATTGTCCCTACTACACATTATAATGTAGGTAGGTATTTAAAACAACTTTAACTGCGCGTGAATRTGCAATATAACTACTAACTGCGCTTTAAAATAATATGCCAACTAATAAGTTCTAATTTTACATTGTATTGTTTTGTGTTCATATTCATCACAAATTAACAGTTTTAACCATAGGCGGATAGGCCTACTGGGCAACCGGACATTTCCCGGTGGGCCCCCTTTCGTATTTCGGCAATGGGGCCCTTTAATATCATATATTTTTAAATTTTTTTTTCATGTGGAGKCCCCTTTTTAAAATTTTCCGATAGGCCAAAAATGGCCTATATCCACCCATGGACTTTAAACTGTAATTAAAACCCTGTAACTAATTATGTGTGTTTTATTTTATTCTGTACACAGGGCGGCACATTAAAAGTCACTCACGACGAATTCGCTAAATACTGGGTGGAATTTTTCTCCTCCGAAGATCAAGCGGCTTTGGGCAACTTCATTTTTGGAAAAACATCGTTCAACTAAAATACAAAAAATTCGTAACTCGCGTCGTCTTTTTTGATTTGTTTTTTCTTTATATACTAATACTTAAAACTGTGGTAAAAAAAAAATCACATACATAAAGGATATTTAAAACGATTAATCTTCATTAGATATCATATAATATATCATATTATATTTAAATAAGTAGATTTACAAATGTAGTAATTACCTGCATTTTATCTAGTATTTTAATATACTATCTTAGGTCAATTCTTCGTACGTATTTCATTTAACTATTGTGATAAGATAAAATATGATTTTCAATATATTATTTATAATATAATTGATAATTTAAAATAATTCATATTACAAATAATACTAAACGACAATTACTATTATTATTGGTCTAGATTAAAAGAATATTTGCATTCTGTTCGTGACTTATTCTCATAAAAATAAAACCATGTAATATCAAGCGTATTTATATTTAATATTAATAATTAAAATAATAATAACTATAGTATATCGTACGATTAACACATTTTTTTAAACTTTAAGCTTGTACACATTTATAAACATGTTTTTATAACACGCAATTGGGGATTAATTATTATTACGCCAATAGTGACAATTAAAAAAAATATATAAGTACCACAAACTTCAGGAAAGTTGACTACTTAAAGTCGGTAAACAAACAGTTAACATTTTATTCTAAAATGTTCTCGTTGCCAAAATATAACATTTTACTACATTAATATAGTATATATTCAGGGTAACGATTTAATAATACATAAATCAATACAATATATTTATATAAAATCACAAATCTCATAAAATCACACGTCATTCAAATAACAATAATATTATAGTATCATATACATAGTTATTATAACAAAATATCATTACTAAACTAATTGAATGGAAATATAAATAATACRAAATCGAAAAAAATTATAAAGCTAATATTACTCTATTATATAATATTATGTATGGCCTGTATAGTGGCACAGTAGAAAGTTAATGATAGTATTGAATTTTGTGAAACAGTAAAATAGTAGAAAATGTTTGTGCGTAATCATTATTGTTTTTTTTTTTTTTTTGTAATATTCTTTGTATTTCTCGGAAATATAATACATTTTTAAAGGTATTGGCCGCAATTTATGTAGTTTTTGATTCAAAAAATATACATACATAAATGTAATATTTCAATCATGTGGTTTTACTTTTTTGATATCATACACTTTCAGGTGTCTCATCGGGGTGAGGAGTTGTATTTGATGTTGTCTGCCGATCAATAGATCTAGCTACCTGTCTAGCATGCATCTCATCCAGTCGACCAGATATCATATCACTCCTGGCATTAGTTTCACTTACCTAAAACAAAATTAATATTAATATCATACATTATAAACCAGATGTGTTCAATTAATGATAAACAAAACTAAACCATGTTATAAAATATTACAATAAGCTAGCGGCGTATTCACGGGTGGGGGGGAGAGATTTCCTGGTCTCGACCCCCCCCCCAGAAAATAAGGTTAAAAAGTCATAAATAACTTACTACGCAGGTACCGAAAAAGATTAATTTATATTATGTGTTTTTAATGTTTTTATTACAATATTTATTTAAGTAACTTGGGTTTAACTTTAGATTCTCCCCCACAAAAAAAATTGAAAATACGCCACTGAAATTAGCCACAACATGGCTAGAATCTAGATGATAAAAAAATATTTACAAGCTTCGTGTTATTTTCTTATTTGGCGAAGTGAAAAAAATATCCATAGAACAATATATTATTGTACTATAATATAGTAAATATTAAATAATAACATTTTAGTGAATGGATGCTACCTTACGTGGTTATAATGGTTAAAGGTATGATACTGTTATTTACATTTTTAAACCTTAATTAGAATAAATCTTCCAACCCATATTTAATCTTTTTTCGCCTTTACAATTTTAACATTTCACGCTGAGTCATACATACAATATACTCATGGCTTTATTTTAACATTTATTTTAATGCATCGGACAATAAGTGCCTATTTACTTCAAATTAAAATTTAAAATAATATTTTGTTTAAAAATATATCAATTTAAAATGCAATACAACCTAAGAATAGCTAAACTGACCACATAAAGTCTGYATTGAGTTTAAAAACAAATTTCTAAATTCTTATATATTAGTAAAATATATATTCTAAAATATTTTTGTATTCCACAATACATTGTTAAGATTTTTTATTAAAATACATTAAAAACCACCAAAAAGGAAAGATTCTAATGTTGTATCTTATCTAATGTTACATTAATTTTATTTTGCTTACTTGTCTGAATAATCCCAAACATTGTTCTTCCAATCTTTTTAATCTAGCAGCTCTTCGTTGTAGTCTCTCTTCCTCATCGGGTCGTAATATAGCTGTATCTTGTTGCAGTCTTTCTTCTGTTCCTTTTTCAGTTCTCAAAGCTATTTCATCAGTTTGTAATAAATTTTCTTCATTTGATTGTAAAGTTACYGTTGTTGAAGAACTGGTTCCTGGTATTTCAACTAAAGCTTCCGAAGAATCCTCACTCTCTGATGTGGTCGGTCGTCCAGGCCGTCCGTATTGTCTTTGTAATTCTTCTAGCCTCTCACTTATAGAGTCACTGGTTCGAGATGTACGTACCATTTGATTTAACAACGATCTACTCTGTTTCTCTAATCTTTTGATACCAGTTGTTTCAGTTTCTGACTGGGGTTCATCTACTGTTTCTGATTCTGAGGTATCCAAAGAGAAGGTTTTCAACCAGTTCTCATCATCATCGCTACAAGCTCCACTGTCAGCAATGGCTACTCGGCTCTCATCGTCTTCGAACCCACTCTCAACTGATGTACTACATTTTCTCCGAGAAAATTCTTCTCGTAACGACTGCCAATCTTCCTGAGATTGAGTATTCTTCAATCGGGCTTGATCCCATTTTTCTCGACAATACTCTAACTCATGTTTAAGTTCAGTTAATACAGTTCTCTTATGTTGTAATTCATACCTTAAAATCTTTTCGTGAGTATGAAGTTTTCTATGTTGAGCATTAAGCTTGGCTACAGCATTCCAGGCCTTACAGAGTTCTGCAGAAACAGTTGAAAGCCTTTGCTGCTGATGGTCAAGTCGAGATTCCAAATGATCATTGAGAGTCTTCAGTCTACCGATATCTTTCACTAAAGAATTTTTTTCAAGGATAAGATCTTTAAGCTTCAAAAATGTTCTACTCACTGAAGCAACCCTAGATTCATTTGGATCATCTGGCCTAGACTCATTTTCCGTTTTATTGTCATAATGACCCAGCAATTCGACGAGTATCCTCCAAACTTTTGGTAGATTTGAAGCAATTTTTTCCCGGTTTGAAGTACATTCTACTTCTTCAGAGCGCTCCAATGTATCACCAGCAATATCCATTAATACGGAAGCCGTTTCATTTATGTCCCCGTTGAACGTCAAATCGGATATTAACTCTCTATTTTCCTCTAGCATCCGAGCAAATCTATCAAAATCCGGTCCTTCATCGCCAGATAATAACGTAGAAAATAAATTATTAACTAAAGACATTTGTGATGCAAGACTCATCCTATCTGCTGATGTAGTCATGTATTTTGCCTTCATTTGTTCATATTCAATTTGCTTATCTTGAACATCTGTTTCGAGCTTTGCTATAAAGTCATTCATACCTTGTTTACTGTTGAGTTCTTCTGCCAATTTTGCTTCTAGCAATGAGTTTTTARCTCTCTCTTTATTAATTTCCCTTTCGTGGCCCATAGCTGCTGCTTCTGCCCTTTCTTCGTAAAGCTGACGTAAATTTCTGATATTGTCGATTTGCTTTTGGTACTCCACTCGCAAATCAGCTAAACATTCATCCGCGTGTGATTCCATTTCTTGCAATCGCTTTTTTAAGTCATTCACCTATTATAGACGTAGGTATCAAAGAATGTTTAACACATTAGGATATTCCATATAATACAATGATTAAATCACCTGTGCTTCTCTGATTTTCAACATATCATTGCTGATGTTCGCTACTTGTTTTAGAGCTTTGACCTGTTGTTCTAATCCGTCTTTTTCTTTTCTCACCATTTCCAGTTCTTCTTTATACTCTCTCAATCGATTCATTTCGGTTTTAATCGATGCAAGAGCATCATGTCGTCGTTCACGTATACTGGCCAAATATCTGTCAAACTCATCTGGATCTTTGGCATCAACAGCAGTATTTTCAAAGGATTCATCAACTAAATCCTAWTAATAATAATAATAATAATAAGATAAAACTAATTTAATAATTACATGTATGAATAATATATTAGTATAAATTATTACTGGTGCTGTTAAAGCTGGCATATCTGCCGGACGACTCCATATTGCGCCCATCTGAGATAATTACACTGCAATGATAATAATAATAATAAAACAAACTTATATAATAATTCATGAGCATATTCAATTACGTCAATAACTATTGAGATTTAAATTTATTAGAATTTGATAGGTCACTCAGAAACCATAGTTCAAAATCTATTTTTATTTTTGACCTATATAAAGCAAGTGTTTATAATAGGCATCTAATCCAACTACACTGCAGTATGTTTACGATAAAATTGTATACCTACCTAGTAACTTATGTAAATATTGAATAATTTAATTAAAAGACTTATTAAATTAATATATATAATATATACATATCCCTAACTCTAACTACGTATAGATTGTTGAAAAGTAATTATCAGTATACAATGTACTCTACATACTACAATTGAACCGGAGAATACTAATAATTTAAACTAAAATTCACGTTGATTTTTCAGCTAACGAGTAATACAGTTACTAAATAACTWAGTACAACCGCGGAGGTCGAAAGTATGTTATATAGACATATAGTATCATAGTAAGTATRTATAATGTATTTAATGTGGGTATTATAATAACTGTTTATACATAATGTATTACATCACCGRAAAGTTAATTATTAAATTGCATCTWCCATAATCGATCCAACRGTTCCGAAACTCATAGCATAGGCGCATAGCTAGCAAAAGATTGATGATGTGCACGTTTTCATTCGATACAATTGTTAAATTGTTGTTTT